ACAAACACACAAGCGCGCGCGCACGCGTTTATTTCTATTGGTTTTGTTCTAGAACCCTTTATTTTGATAAGTGAAATACCGATGTTATCTTTTGTTTGTTTGGGTTGTTTTTTTGTTGTTGTTGTTTTGTTTGTTTGTTGTTGGTTGTTTTGTTTGTTTTTGGGGGGGGGGTTCAAGTCGATGTTTCTACGTCACCATCAACACACTTTAGATCATTTAGGAGGTGTACTTCAACCATGCCTGCCAGGTGCTAACCCGGGATGAGAGGGATACAATGTTCCAGAAGAAAGACCGAAACAAAGAGTTATCCTTATTCGTGAATTGGTCAGCACAAGGGGGCTTTCCAGAAAAATACTGTTTTGAGAAAATAGAAGGTAAAGTTTTTGCCCCTTTTTCAGTTCCTTTAAAAGACAAGGAGAGTTTTCTCTTTAACCAAACAAGTATACACACCAATGAAATCAAACTTCTCCTATATGTAGGGCAATGCCTACTTTTGGTGTAGGTTAAGATTTCTGGAAACCCCCGAAATCTGGGTTAGCCCGCTTGTCCTTAAAAGCGACCAATTGAACTCGAGACTCCTGCGTTCGACAGCGACGCGCCTAATTGCAGTACCACAGACGCCAGTGTTTCTATCCTCATGTTATTGGCTGTGCTGCTTCTACTGTTGCTGCCTCTACTTTTGCTACTGCTGCTGGAACACTATGTTGCTACAACTGCTGCTGTTCTGGTGATGACGACAGACAGAAATTAGGTAACATTTTGAGGAGAGCGTTTATTCCTGAGCTCTAAGAGAGATAATGGACCAATTGCGTTGCACAGGGGTTCCGTCATTATGGATGATGATGGCGGGGGCCGCACGCTGTTGACCCATCAGCCCAATATATAACACATCCAATGCGTGGACACTTTAGTTATTGCTGCATGCAAAGTTTGTGTTGACTAAAACGGAAAAACACGTGATTTTTGTTATCGTGTGGAAGTCTGAGGTAAGTTTTGGAACCGTAACTTGATAATATGTCCTTTTAGTTTTTAATTACTTTTATCTGCATGTAAAGATGCAACATTATTTTTATCTTGGGAGACCAGAAAAGCATTGGTTTTTGGTTGTTGTTTTTTTGTAGTGTGTTTGTTCTTTGAAGAAATTAGTAAGTTGTACACCACTTTTTCTTCGTACCGTATCCTTACTCGTTGAAAAAATGCTAGAAGTAGGGATTGTATTCATACATAATATCGTAACGTGCATTCAGGTAATTTATTCATTGGTTTTGTTTATTATCAAGGACATTGTGATTAAAGCTGGGCGCTTGTTTCATCAGTATTTTTTCTTTTCATTTAGAAATACTTCAATACTTTTTTTGTCTTCTTTTTTGTCTTTTTTAATTTTTTAATGTTTTTAATTTTTAATTATTTTTTTTATTGGGGGGCGGGGGGGGGGGGGGGGCGAGTATCTCATAAGAAAAGGGAGCCCTTTGCTAGTTCTTACTCTTTAGATTTAAGGTTGAAGATAAACAGCTGGATTGATTTATTTTTTTTTCATTCTGTACTAGATTTGGGCGGAACACCTTGAACCCTCGTTGTTGTTTGCTCACAATTACAAGTGTGCATGTGCGTTGTTCTGAAAAAAAGGGGGAAGAGGATATTTTAGACAATAAATTTCCTAAAGATGTTAAGATTAGTAACTGTATTCTCATTATGCTAACTGAACAAGTCAATAAAATGCACAAATTACACGTAAAAGCCTGTTAATATCTAATATTTCTTCAGGTCAGTAGCCATGTTGTCGTCCAGGAATTCTCACCACGGAAGACGTGTCTCTCCTAAGACATTGTGTAAACTACTCCTCGTGTTCTGTTGTGGAGTCTCCAGCGTCTTGAGCTCGCCAAGCGCCGCCCGGAGTACGAAAACCTCCAAACGACAGCAAGAGCTGCTGACGTGTCGTCGAATGCTAAAGTACTCAGACGCCATTGAGCTGCTGCAACCAGGCATCAGCTGGCACGAGCGTTGTCAGACCTGTCAATGTAACGGACATACTGGTCAGGTCGAATGTTTGACGACGATGGGCGAAGTGTGCATCGACACGTATGATCCTTCGGTAGACAGAGTTTGTCAAGAAGTAAGATTAATTTGTGATAGGGATGATTATTTTATTGATATTATTATGAAGTGTACCCTTACTGCTTTTTTCGTTTTTGTTTTTTCTAATTTCTTTTTTTTTTTTTTTTGGTGCACATTTATCTGTATTTGCGAGTGGTAGGCGGATGGTCTATTTTGCTACTTCTTTCTTATCACACCTCTAGCGACCTTATCTCTCGTCCTTTTTTTGTTTGTTCCGGTCTTGAAGCACCTCTAATGTTCGGCTCTTATGTGACTGCATTGCGTTGCAAGTGCCGTAAACTCTTACTAAAACTAAACTAAACTGAGCTTTATAGATGATCATCAGTATCATTATTGCCTTTCTCTCCCTGCGTCAGGGTATAGGCCACGAACAAACATTTTCCACCTACCCCTCTTATCCTGGGTGAGCCAGCTTTATAGATATATTAAAGCCGTCTTATTTTATTATTTTAGATTCTATTAAAAAACATTAACTTCACCTACAGTAACTTCTTGATTAAAGTGCTGAAAACCCAAAGCTCAGCCTGATGCTATCACTTTTTGCTGAAGGGACTGGCGAGAAACAACTATAATGATATCATCGTCTTCTTATTAATAAAACTTCCTCAAGCTAAGTCGTAAGTAGTTCAAGAGAGTTCACTCTTCCGTGTGAGATTTTATTTTTTTATATTACTCACGGAAAAAAAGAAAGTACTCTTTGAGATCAAACAATGTACTTGCAAACCAATTTTCCCATTCCATTACTAGATGAAACACACACACACACACACACACACACACACACACACACACACACACACACATCAAGAAAGAAGACATGACGATACATAACTCATTGACGTGTTTATTTTGCATCAAATAAATCCCTTCTCAAGTTGAAGCCCCAATTTCCAAATTCACAAAATCAGCACCGCGTGAGGCCACTCTCAACACCGATGACTAATTGACACTGTAGACGAATGGAAAAGATACATTCTTGGATAAACTGCAGGGGGGAATCAGCTGCTAGATTCTTATTTGGTGTTGCTCAAGCTTATCTAACGTTAGGGGCTGGACAGTTCGCACTGAAATTGGCCTTCATCCAGCGGCATTACGCACTGCAGTGATGCAGGGTGCAATCTTTTCTGGAGATGAACGCGGTAGGTGTGTCGGTCTTGTCTGTGTATTGTGATCCAGAGAGTTACCACTTCTGGGCTGGTCATTCGTCTTACCAGACACCCATACATGTGCCCGAAAACATTCAATGCTGTTTCTGAGGACATTGAGCCTTAGAGCTACATCTCGATGTGTACATCCAGCCTGAAACATTTCTAATGCTCGCCTTCTATCATTTTTCGACAGATTTAAAAGCATAGATATTGCGGTATTTTATGTTTTTCGATACAAACAGACGTAAAGGCAGTTAATGTTAGACTCTATTTGGAACACATGTACAAATTGTCGCATTATAAGGCAGTTGCATGAATTTATAGCCTTTGTGTTATCGTCCTTGCTTAACTAGAATTTTTAGCGGAAACTCATGCAACTTATGGAAACAACTTATATAAGCTTCCATGTAAAAGTCGACTGCTGACCTTCAATTAATCAAGTTGTGGCCACTTAAAGCATGCACATTTTCTTTTTTCTTTTAATATACAAAGCATTTTTATTTTTTTAACGTTCTAAAAATGCCGGCAGTTGAATTTTGCATTATTGCATGTTGGGTAGAGAGTTTGTCAAGAAGTAAGATTAATTTGTGATAGGGATGATTATTTTATTGATATTATTATGAAGTGTACCCTTACTGCTTTTTTCGTTTTTGTTTTTTTTAATTTCTTTTTTTTTTTTTTTTGGTGCACATTTATCTGTAT